TTGTTTTCGCTCTATCTCTTATAATTATTGAGATAAATGGACTTTTATGTTTTCACTCAAAAATCAGTTTTAGTGAGAAATGCAAGTGATCACAGACTTTCATTGTTTTCGCTCTATCTCTTACAACTACCGAGATAAATGGACTTTTATGTTTTCACTCAAAAATCAGTTTTCAGGGAGAAATGCAAGTGATCACAGATTTTCATTGTTTTCGCTCTATCTCTTACAACTACCGAGATAAATGGACTTTTATGTTTTCACTCAAAAATCAGTTTTTAGTGAGAAATGCAAATGATCACAGATTTTCATTGTTTTCGCTCTATCTCTTACAACTACCGAGATAAATGGACTTTTATGTTTTCACTCAAAAATCAGTTTTTGATAGGAAATGCAAGTGATCACAGATTTTCATTGTTTTCGCTCTTTATCTTATAACTACCAAGATAAATGGACTTTTATGTTTTCACTCAAAAATCAGTTTTTCATATGAAATGCAAGTGATCACAGATTTTCATTGTTTTCGCTCTATCTCTTATAACTACCGAAATAAATGGACTTTTATGTTTTCACTCAAAAATCAGTTTTTAGTGAGAAATGCAAGTGATCACAGATATTCATTGTTTTCGCTCTATCTCTTACAACTACCGAGATAAATGGACTTTTGGGGTTTCACTCAAAAATCAGTTTTTTGATAGGAAATGCAAGTGATCACAGATTTTCATTGTTTTCGCTCTATCTCTTACAACTACCGAGATAAATGGACTTTTATGTTTTCACTCAAAAATCAGTTTTTGATAGGAAATGCAAGTGATCACAGATTTTCATTGTTTTCGCTCTTTATCTTATAACTACCAAGATAAATGGACTTTATGTTTTCACTCAAAAATCAGTTTTTCATATGAAATGCAAGTGATCACAGATTTTCATTGTTTTCGCTCTATCTCTTATAACTACCGAAATAAATGGAATTTATGTTTTCAATTAAAAATCAGTTTTTGATAGGAAATGCCAGTGATCACAGATTTTCATTGTTTTCGCTCTGTCTCTTATAACTACCGAGATAAATGGACTTTTATGTTTTCACTCAAAATCAGTTTTTGATAGGAAATGCAAGTGATCACAGATTTTCATTGTTTTCGCTCTATCTCTTATAATTATTGAGATAAATGGAGTTTTATGTTTTCACTCAAAAATCAGTTTTTAGAGAAATGCAAGTGATCACAGATTTTCATTGTTTTCGCTCTATCTCTTACAACTACCGAGATAAATGGACTTTTATGTTTTCATTCAAAAATCAGTTTTTAGTGAGAAATGCAAGTGATCACAGATTTTCATTGTTTTCGGTCTATCTAGTATAACTACCGAGATAAATGGACTTTAATGTTTTCATTAAAAAATCAGTTTTTAGTATGGATTTTTATGTTTTCACTCAAAAATCAGTTTTTGATAGGAAATGCAAGTGATCACTGATTTTCATTGTTTTCGCTCTTTATCTTATAACTACCAAGATAAATGGACTTTTATGTTTTCACTCAAAAATCAGTTTTTCATATGAAATGCAAGTGATCACAGATTTTCATTGTTTTCGCTCTATCTCTTATAACTACCGAGATAAATGGACTTTTATGTTTTCACTCAAAAATCAGTTTTTAGAGAGAAATGCAAGTGATCACAGATTTTCATTGTTTTCGGTCTATCTAGTATAACTACCGAGATAAATGGACTTTAATGTTTTCACTCAAAAATCAGTTTTTAGTGAGAAATGCAAGTGATCACAGATTTTCGTTGTTTTCGCTCTATCTCTTACAACTACCGAAATAAATGGACTTTTATGTTTTCACTCAAAAATCAGTTTTTGATAGGAAATGCAAGTGATCACAGATTTTCATTGTTTTCGTTCTATCTCTTATAACTACCGAAATAAGTGGACTTTTATATTTCACTCAAAAATCAGTTTTAGTGAGAAATGCAAGTGATCACAGATTTTCATTGTTTTCGCTCTATCTCTTACAACTACCGAGATAAATTGACTTTCGGGGTTTCACTCAAAAATCAGTTTTTTGATAGGAAATGCAAGTGATCACAGTTTTTCATTGTTTTCGCTCTTTCTCTTATAACTACCGTGATAAATGGACTTTTATGTTTTCACTCTAAAATCAGTTTTTCATATGAAATGCAAGTGATCACAGATTTTCATTGTTTTCGCTCTATCTCTTATAACTAGCGAGATAAAGGGACTTTTGGGGTTTCACTCAAAAATCAGTTTTAGTGAGAAATGCAAGTGATCACAGATTTTCATTGTTTTCGCTCTATCTCTTATAACTACCGACATAAATGGACTTTTATGTTTTCACTCAAAAATCAGTTTTGATGGGAAATGGAGGTGATCACAGATTTTCATTGTTTTCGCTCTATCTCTTATAACTATCGAGATAAATGGACTTTTATGTTGTCACTCAAAAATCAGTTTTTCATATGAAATGTTGGTGATCACAATTTTCATTGTTTTCGCTCTATCTCTTATAACTACCGAGATAAATGGACTTTTATGTTTTCACTCAAAAATCAGTTTTTCATCGGAAATGAAAGTGATCACAGATTTTCATTATTTTCGCTCGATCTCTTATAACTATCGAGATAAATGGACTTTTATGTTGTCACTCAAAAATCAGTTTTTCATAGCAAATGAAAGTGATCATAGATTTTCATTATTTTCGCTCTTTCTCTTATAACTACCGAGATAAATGGACTTTTATGTTTTCACTCTAAAGTCGTTTTTTTATAGGAAATGCAAGTGATCACAGATTTTCATTGTTTTCCCTCTATCTCTTATAATTACCGATATGAATTAGTTTTTTGTAAAATATGCAAGCGATGGCAGAACTAAGGTCATAAATAGACTATTCTGTTTTTTTTTACAATAATAATGTAATAAAGCTTACCTTAAACCTAAAGTCTCCTTATATTTTGGAATATATTAATCATCATCCAAACGTTTACGTGCATTTCCTTTCGCTGCAAATTTACGCTTTTTAAATGAAGTTGACGTATTGCTGGTAACTTCTGCATCTAATGTTTCGATGGTTTTCTCTTTGAAACGTTTAACTGGCGGTTCATAAGGTACATCCGAGACAACGGGAGCAGCATAATAGTTGTTTATAGCTGGTAACTCTAAATCAATGGGAGCTGGAGGAGGTCTGTAATAAAAAAACTTATAAATTCTCTATTAAAATTATATAAAATTTGTTTAAACTTACTTGTTTTCTACCACTTGCCATTGTCCAATTTCAGGTGCTTTAGCTTCTTCTTCGGTTTTAAAACTTTCCTTGCGTTCTTCTTCGGCTTTCTGTTCCTGCTTGCTAACTGGAGGTCTAAACATTTTTAAACGTTCACGATTGTAGCGTGCTACTTCTTCATTGACATTCTCACGAAACTTCTTAGCCTGTTCGGCTTCTTGTAATTCCTGTTGTTTGACAGCCAATTCGTTAATACGTTGATATTCTTTCCAGGAGAGAGATAACCTTCTTTCGGAACTTCCCATACACTTTCATTGGTCTTAACATTCCAATAGTATGAATAGCCCTCATCATTTACACCTTCTACCCATAGTGAGGCATTGGGCACAGCACTATGGTCAACTTTCGGTATACCCACCCGAGGTCCTACTTCATTTTCATCATCTGAGTTTCCAGCCAAACGCATGGGATCAACTTGTTTAAAATTATTACTAGCTGCATGGGAACCGACCTCAGCACTTGTTGAAGGTCCTACACCTGCTGTCATAACAGCATTTATGGAGCGCGCAGTCAAATCTCCTCTACTGTGTATGTCGTGAGCATAGGAACGCATAGCCGCCTCTTCCATTTTGCGTATTTCAGCATCCATTTTACGTTTTCCTGTTCAGACTTTTCGCTGTTGCGGCTAATGTCAGTTATCCGTTTGGCCACATTCAGCTTATGTCGCTTGCCATTTTCGTGAAAGGAAATGCTCTAAAATGTGCAAAAGAAAACAAAAATTTATAGATTTTAATTCCTTCACAAGTATACGTTTTTCGTACCGCTTTATTGTCACTGATCCAGCACTTGCAAAAATCACAATATTTACGCTCATTTGATTTCCAGTAGTCCGCCCTGTTGTTATAAAATAAAAAATTAATATAAACATAAAGATTTTAATATAATACCTTAAATTTCTTACATTTTTCTTAAAATAATATTAAAAGAAGTTAAGTTTTGTTCTTAAACAAATGTCAACAACAACTGTGGTGAATTTTATGTTGGTTGCCAGAAAAATGAACCAAAACATATGTTTAGTATGAAGTTGCCACTTGAAACGTCTTTTTCAAGCAGTTGCCGGGCATGTGTGTGAGAGGTAGCAAAAACGAACGTTAAATTTGAAAAATCGCTGTAATTCTAAACAATAGATGGGCAGCACAGTTAGAAAATACGAATTTCGTTGTAATCGATTTTTCTTGGTACGAACATCTGTCAATCTCTTATTGGATTTTGTCCGTTTTAAACTGGAAATATATTAAGAAATATGTATTTAGTTAATTAGTTAGTTAGTAGTTAGTTAGTTAGTTAGTTAGTTAGTTAGTTAGTTAGTTAGTTAGTTAGTTAGTTAGTTAGTAGTAGTTAGTTAGTTAGTTAGTAGTTAGTTCGTAGTTAGTTAGTTAGTAGTTAGTAGTTAGTTAGTTAGTTAGTAGTTAGTTAGTTAGTTAGTAGTTAGTTAGTTAGTAGTTAGTTAGTTAGTTAGTTAGTTAGTTAGTTAGTTAGTTAGTTAGTTAGTTAGTTAGTTAGTTAGTTAGTTAGTGTTAGTTAGTTAGTTAGTTAGTAGTTAGTTAGTTAGTTAGTTAGTTAGTTAGTTAGTTAGTTAGTAGTTAGTTAGTTAGTTAGTTAGTTAGTTAGTTAGTAGTTAGTTAGTTAGTTAGTTAGTTAGTTAGTTAGGTAGTTAGTTAGTTAGTTAGTTAGTTAGTTAGTTAGTAGTTAGTTAGTAGTTAGTTAGTTAGTAGTTAGTTAGTAGTAGTTAGTTAGTTAGTAGTTAGTTAGTAGTTAGTTAGTTAGTTAGTTAGTAGTAGTTAGTTAGTTAGTTAGTTAGTAGTTAGTTAGTTAGTTAGTTAGTTAGTTAGTAGTAGTTAGTTAGTTAGTTAGTAGTTAGTAGTTAGTTAGTTAGTAGTTAGTTAGTTAGTTAGTTAGTTAGTAGTTAGTTAGTTAGTAGTTAGTTAGTTTAGTAGTTAGTTAGTTAGTTAGTTAGTAGTTAGTTAGTTAGTTAGTTAGTTAGTTAGTTAGTTAGTAGTTAGTTAGTTAGTTAGTTAGTAGTTAGTTAGTTAGTTAGTTAGTTAGTTAGTTAGTTAGTAGTTAGTTAGTTAGTTAGTAGTTAGTTAGTTAGTTAGTTAGTTAGTTAGTTAGTAGTTAGTTAGTTAGTTAGTTAGTTAGTTAGTTAGTTAGTTAGTTAGTTAGTTAGTTAGTTAGTTAGTAGTTAGTTAGTTAGTTAGTTAGTAGTTAGTTAGTTAGTTAGTAGTTAGTTAGTTAGTTAGTTAGTTAGTTAGTAGTTAGTTAGTTAGTTAGTTAGTTAGTTAGTTAGTTAGTTAGTTAGTAGTTAGTTAGTTAGTAGTTAGTTAGTTAGTTAGTTAGTTAGTTAGTTAGTTAGTTCGTTAGTTATGTCTATAGACTATAGACATTCTATAGTATATTCTAGACTATAGACTAGACTATGGACTCGACTATAGACTAGACTATAGACTAGACTAGGCTATAGACTAGATTATAGACTAGACTATAGACTAGACTATAGACTAGACTATAGACTAGACTATAGACTAGACGACTAGACTATATATAGACTATAGACTGGACTATAGACTAGACTATAGACTAGACTATAGACTAGACTATAGACTAGACTATAGACTAGACTATAGACTAGACTATAGACTAGACTATAGACTAGACTATAGACTACTAGACTATAGACTAGACTATAGACTAGACTATAGACTAGACTATAGACTAGACTATAGACTAGACTATAGACTAGACTATAGACTAGACTATAGACTAGAATATAGACTAGACTATAGACCAGACTATAGACTAGACTATAGACTAGACTATAGACTAGACTATAGACTAGACTATAGACTAGACTATAGACTAGACTATAGACTATACTATAGACTAGACTAGACTATAGACTAGACTATAGACTAGACTATAGACTAGACTATAGATTAGACTATAGACTAGACTATAGACTAGACTATAGACTAGACTATAGACTAGACTATAGACTAGACTATAGACTAGACTATAGACTAGACTATAGACTAGACTATAGACTAGACTATAGACTAGACTATAGACTAGACTATAGACTAGACTATAGACTAGACTATAGACTATAGACTAGACTATAGACTAGACTAGACTATAGACTAGACTGTAGACTAGACTAGACTATAGACTAGACTATAGACTAGACTATAGACTAGACTATAGACTAGACTATAGATTAGACTATAGACTAGACTATAGACTAGACTATAGACTAGACTATAGACTAGACTATAGACTAGACTATAGATTAGACTATAGATTAGACTATAGACTAGACTATAGACTAGACTATAGACTAGACTATAGACTAGACTATAGACTAGACTATAGACTAGACTATAGACTAGACTATAGACTAGACTATAGACTAGACTATAGACTAGACTATAGACTAGACTATAGACTAGACTATAGACTAGACTATAGACTAGACTATAGACTAGACTATAGACTAGACTATAGACTAGACTATAGACTAGACTATGGACTAGACTATAGACTAGACTATTGACTAGACTATAGACTAGACTATAGACTAGACTATAGACTAGACTATAGACTAGACTATAGACTAGACTATAGACTAGACTATAGACTAGACTATAGACTAGACTATAGACTAGACTATAGACTAGACTATAGACTAGACTATAGACTAGACTATAGACTAGACTATAGACTAGATAAGACTAGACTGTAGACTAGACTATAGACTAGACTATAGACTAGACTATAGACTAGACTATAGACTAGACTATAGACTAGACTATAGACTAGACTATAGAGTAGACTATAGACTAGCCTATAGAGTAGACTATAGACTAGACTATAGACTAGACTATAGACTAGACTATAGACTAGACTATAGACTAGACTATAGACTAGACTATAGACTAGACTATAGACTAGACTATAGACTAGACTATAGACTAGACTATAGACTAGACTATAGACTAGACTATAGATTAGACTATAGACTAGACTATAGACTAGACTATAGACTAGACTATAGACTAGACTATAGACTATAGACTAGACTATAGACTAGACTATAGACTAGACTATAGACTAGACTATAGACTAGACTATAGACTAGACTATAGACTAGACTATAGACTAGACTATAGACTAGACTATAGACTAGACTATAGACTAGACTATAGACTAGACTATAGACTAGACTATAGACTAGACTATAGACTAGACTATAGACTAGACTATAGACTAGACTATAGACTAGACTATAGACTAGACTATAGACTAGACTATAGACTAGACTATAGACTAGACTATAGACTAGACTATAGACTAGACTATAGACTAGACTATAGACTAGACTATAAACTAGACTATAGACTAGACTATAGACTAGACTATAGACTAGACTATAGACTAGACTATAGACTAGACTATAGACTAGACTATAGACTAGACTATAGACTAGACTATAGACTAGACTATAGACTAGACTATAGACTAGACTATAGACTAGACTATAGACTAGACTATAGACTATAGACTAGACTATAGACTAGACTATAGACTTGACTATAGACTAGACTATAGACTAGACTATAGACTAGACTATAGACTAGACTATAGACTAGACTATAGAATAGACTACAGACTAGACTATAGACTAGACTAGACTATAGACTAGACTATAGACTAGACTATAGACTAGACTATAGACTAGACTATATACTAGACTATAGACTGGACTATAGACTAGACTATAGACTAGACTATAGACTAGACTATAGACTAGACTATTGACTAGACTATAGACTAGACTATAGACTATACTATAGACTAGACTAGACTATAGACTAGACTATAGACTAGACTATAGACTAGACTATAGACTAGACTATAGCCTAGACTATACTAGACTATAGACTATAGACTATAGACTAGACTAGACTAGCCTAACTCGACTAGACTAGACTAGACTAATAGACTATAGACTATAGTCTAGTCTATAGACTAGTTATAGTCTAGTCTATAGTCTAGTCTATTCTATAGTCTAGTCTATAGTCTAGAATATACTATAAAGCTCTGCTCAAAAATATAGCGCATTTTTTGTTTATTATTTTCTCTTTTTATACCATTAAAAAAACTAAGATAATAATTTTTTTTGCGGTAAATTAAAGCATATAGTCCACTTTATTAAACAATATTGAAATTTATTTTAAAGTAGCAAAATAACTGCGCTAGAAATATTTTACGAACAAGTCCTTAATTATTGATTCAAATTGTAGCGCATTTATAATTTATAAATGAAATGTTATCAATATTGGATCTCGGATGAATAAAATACATCTGCCCCTATATTTAAGGACCCATTTACTCCCAATTGGTGTTGAGTTGCCTAAGTGTAGCGAACATTTTGGGTTTTTTTTAAACAAATTAATTTTTTAGCATTTTACAATCAATTTATGCAGCGATTTACAATTCTGAAGACATAATCGTAATTAATCAATCATAATATAATTTATAAACATTTGATAACAATTTGGTCAATGTTATATGAGAATATTTCCTTGATAGATCCAAAATTTCTGAATTTCGCGCGATAGCATTGAGCGTTTTTAATATTTCAAACTAGGCCTATATTTAATAGGCCCAAAAATATGATCATATTTTCTCCAAAACGTAAAAATTTAGTGACTCTAGTATTTTCAAATCCTTAAAAAAAGATAGTAGGCCAAGAAAAAGGATGCTAAGACATACACATGTGCTACTGAAACACCCACCAAAAAATGTTTTAGAATTCTTATAAATGGAAATTTTATTTTCAGTAAATGCAATTTTAATTTATAAAACATTAGAAGCAAGTTTTTTAAGGTTTTATGGTGAAATTTGATAAATTATTACAATTTGTATCATCACAATCTTAAATCTGCCAAAAAGTGACCCATG